GAGAGAGAGAGAGAGAGAGAGAGAGAGAGAGAGAGAGAGAGAGAGAGAGAGCGAGCAGCTTTCCACGTATTTGCGTATGAACTGGTATGAACGCACGCGCCTGTGGCAAGCCGGGTTAACAATCGTTCATAAAAATATACAAAATCTGGGTTTTTTTAACGTTGCCAGCACTTTTTTTCTAAGAAATTACTAATAATATTTCTAAAATGATTAGTAGGATTTACAATTTTACTTGTAACTATTTATTAGATACAGATGCTATTCCAGTAATCGTGATCAATGTCTTTTCAGTTGAGTCACTAGTATTCCTTTGCTATTGGTCACTATCCAACAAGTAACTATTCCACTTTTACTGGTTACAGTTTGCAAATGTAATCAATAGGTGTCTATTAACTACCTCTACTTCTGACTATGTCATCCACTTGTTGCTGCTGTTCCTGTTTTACTTGTAACTTGTCATGAGGGGCTAGTACTTATATTTTAGTTAAATTAAACGAAATGTTTAATCTTAGTAGATTTTAATATTGAAATTTAATTTTTAGATGTTGAACAATACAATTCTGACCAGTCATTACATGCAAGTAAAAAGCCATTGTGTAAATAGTGAGATAAAAAAAAAAATCTTACAATTGAGTTACACAGTAGAGTCCTAATTCTAGTAAAAAAAAATATATACTACTTAAATAATAGTTACCAGTGATACTGGGATACTACTCGGAAGTGAATAGTTGCAACTTTTGGCTTTGAATTCTTTCCAAATTTGTTACCAGTAGCGTTGGTGTTATATTTACTTGACAATATTTTGGTAGTGACTAGTAGGCAGCAAAGAGATAATTGAGTGAATAATTATTATAGTGACGTTGAAAACAATACTAGCACCTATTGTGTTACTTATTAATAATGAAAATAATACTAGTTGCAGTAAGATATGCTAGTTAGTTTTTCAGGAGCTAATGGTAAAACATCTTGCCATAAGATGCTTTTGCCAGCCAAATTATGCACAGAGTTTGGCAAGGTCACTGGACAGAGCTATCGTGTAGCCCTGCTACATTATTTATTATGGAAACAAATACCTAATAAAAACTAAAAGAAACCAGTAATATAAGTAGGATTAGTGTGTGTCTTAGAGTCAAATAGGCAAACACACATTCACTTTCTTTGCTTTGCTCGTTCACTCAGGGTTTTTTAGCTATTAAAAGCAGTGTGAGCCATCTGTCTCCTTGTGCACAAATGCAGGTATATACAGCTGGTACATACTCAACCTTCACATCTCACGAGGGCTAAACAACAGCTGTCAAGAACAACATGCTCTGTGTCTGATTGGGCTATGGAAGGAAACGGTCAAAGTCACACTCTGTTTCTGTGTTTTAAGGCCCTGAATGGACGCTTTCTTCAGCCTCTCTCCCTGTCATGTGGGTCGTTGCGGTTCGTCAGCTTCTCCTTCAAGGTACTGAAACAAACCTGTTGTGCCAGGTTTATGCACTACTTTTATTTCCATGCTACCACAAGTCAGTCTGGGCCTCAGGTCTTGTGATTGTGTGTTTGTTTTAGTTGGCTCAGAGTTTCACATCACAAGTTTTATGGCTCATCACATTTCTGAAGTGTTAAGCAGGCCACGGTGTCGCCTTGTGGGATCTGACGTCTCTTTTCTTTGTGCATTTGCTTTCTTGCACGCTTTCTCCACCCCCCTCCCCAACTCCTCCCTTCCCTTCTCACAACAATTTAATTTAATTTAATTCAATTTCCATAAAAGCTTGACTGGCATGATGAATCCAGATTCATTTTTCAAATGCATGTGCAATCAGTGATAATGAATAAACATCTCTCCACGTGCCCACTTTACTCCCCACCCCTCTCTGTCTTTTCGTTTTCTCTCCCTCTTTTTCTGTCTCTCTCTCTCTCTCCCCGGTTGTTTGTGTCAGGCTGCAGATCTTACCATAGAGAGGAACCCTGCACTGAAGCCAAAGCCAGACCCCTCAACCCTTGTGTTCGGCAAGCAGTTTTCAGACCACATGCTGACAGTCAGCTGGTCTGAAGCAGGAGGATGGCAGGCACCTCAGATCAAGCCCTTCCAGAATCTGTCCCTTCACCCTGCTTCCTCAGCCCTGCATTACTCCATAGAGGTGAGGGAGTGTGTGAGCCACATGGCTCTTACTACCTTTTTGTCATTTATTCAAAATAAAATTGACTTTATTTCCCAAGTCTGGTGTTTTTACCTGAATTCTATCAGATGCTCTGCCACAACATAGAAATGAAATGTCTGCAGTTTTTTTTTTCTTGATGTTGCAATTGCAATCATTAATTTTCGAAATATTGCCTTTAATAATAATTATTATTTTATGTAAGTATAAGTTGTTTATAATTCTAAATCTTAAACATCTTATCAAATTAGTTAATTTTATATTACATTAAATTATATAGTTAATTATGCAGCTCGACAATGATGTTATATGCAATACCTCTCTGAAGATTGGCGTCAGTATGATTTTTTTTTTTTTTTTATAAATTAATACTTTTATTCAGCAAAAGCGAAGCGACAGCAACAACATTAACAAGTTTACAAAATATTTTTTATTTCAAATAAATGCTGTTCTTTCCTGTATTTATAAAGGAATCATGAATCACGTTTCCACAAAGATGTTAAGCAGCACAACTGTTTTCAACATTGATAGCAATAAGAATTTGAGCCCCAAATCAGCATATTAGATGATCTCTGAAGGATCGTGTGACACTGAAGACTGGAGTAATGGCTGCCATCATAAGAACAAATTACATTGTAAAATATATAAAAATAGAAAATGGCTATTTTGAATTGTAATAATATAATATTTTTGCTGTATTTTTTAAAATAACTGCCTTGGTGAGCTTGTTAAAGCTGAGTCTTTGTATTGCTGCAGCTAGTATTTCCATGGATGTTCTACACAGCTATTTGACCTTGTCTTAATATAAGTTTATTTAATATGATCCATTTTGAACCGAAGTGAACTGTAGGGCTTACTAATGTTTAAGACTAATTTCCCAAAATTTGTCCTATTTATTTTTTATGAATCTTTTATTTATTTATTTTTGATATTCTGTTTTATTCTCAGCTATTTGAGGGCATGAAGGCTTTCCGGGGAGTAGATAACCGTATCCGTCTCTTCAGGCCTATGCTGAATATGGAGCGCATGTACAGGAGCACCGAGAGGAGCTGTCTGCCTGTTAGACTTTATCTTATTCCATAAGGCATTACTTCAGCTTATTGACTAATGCCTTATGATATTATCACATTTCCACTTAGCCAATCTGTGTGCCATATCCTCTCCCATCTCCATCAGCATGTTCTCTCTCTGTATCTCTCTTAGTTGTTTGATAAGGGCGAACTGATAAAGTGTATCAATAAACTGGTTGAGATCGACCGAGAATGGGTTCCTTACTCCACAGATGCCAGCCTGTACATCAGACCAACGTTTATAGGAACTGAAGTAAGAAACTTTCGGTATTAAAATATAATTTACTGAATGATTTTGGTCTTTTTATCTTTAATGGTGACCCTCCTTCTTTTTGCAGCCTTCCCTAGGTGTGTCTCGAGCAGGTCATGCTTTGCTCTTCGTCATCATTGGGCCTGTTGGACCTTATTTTGCAACTGGAGGCTTTAGTCCGGTGTCATTGCTGGCAGATCCTCGATATGTGCGGGCCTGGAGGGGTGGCGTTGGAGAATACAAGATGGGAGGGTGGGTTTTCACAATTATTTCACAAAAAAATGTATTTACTCCTCCTGGTGTTGTTGTAATGCTGTATGCCCTTCTTTCTTTTCGGACCACAAAAAGAGAATAAAAAAAAAAAAGTCCTGCTCACACAATGGCAGTGAATAGCAACCAGCATCAAACTTCAATGTGCAAACGTGTCACAGAACGGTTGTATGTCACATATTCCAAGTGTTGTGGGGATATACAATAGGGTTTGGTGAAAAACAAACTGAAACGTAATTTTTTATTTTTAGCGAAAATTCTGGCCTTGGCAGTTGGTCTTCTGTATTCATGAGACTCTATTAGCGCCGCAATTCACATCGACTCACCCAGAAACCCAAACTTTGTCGGGTTTACCCTGCTAAATTAAAGCAGAAATATGGCACTGAACTCTTTGGAACCATTTTCTCCAGTTTGTATTTTCCGTAAGTGTATAAGTGAAAATATTTCAAGTGTTAACCGTTCTGTAGTGTTGCATTAGAAAGTGTTTGTTTTTT